CACCCATCAATTTTTATTTGACATGGAATTGATTTCATGTAGAAATGAAGTCGGAAGAATTGGTGCCGGGACTCGAACCACTTAAAGTGAAAGACCTACCGAAGTTCATGACGAGTGAGCCGGTGGAGACATGCAAGCTATTGGAACTCATGGTCCAAGGAACCAAAAGAGCACAAGCCGTGATATGGAACACATTCAAAGATCTGGAACAAGTGGAACTATCCACACTAATAAGTCGTGGTTTCCAAAAGCCACATTTCATGATCGGACCATTTCACAAATACTTCCCAACATCACCATCAAGCAGCCTCCTAGACGAAGATCAAACATCCATCTCATGGTTGGACACCCACCCACACAAGTCTGTGTTATACGTTAGTTTTGGTAGTCTAGCCATGATTGAAGAATCCCAGTTCTTGGAGATGGCTTGGGGTTTGGCTAATAGCAAGCAACCATTTCTATGGGTGGTTAGACCAGGGTCCATACGGGGTTCCGAGTGGCTTGAACCGTTGCCAGATGGGTTTTTGGCGAGAATTGCACTAGGAAGAGGGTATATTGTGAAATGGGCTCCACAACAAGAGGTATTGGCTCATCCTGCAATCGGAGGATTTCTGACTCATAATGGATGGAACTCGACGATAGAGAGCATCTGTGAAGGGGTTCCAATGATCTGTGCGCCATGTTTCGGTGATCAACCAGTGAATGCAAGATATGTAAGCGATGTTTGGAAGATTGGGGTAGAACTGGAAAATGGGTTGGAGAGGGGAGGGATTGAAAGTTCAATAAAGAGAGTGATGGTTGATGAAGAAGGGATTGAAATGAAGGATCGAGTCCTGAAATTGAAGGAGAAAGTAAAGGTTTGCCTAAAGAAAGGAGGTTCATCATACACATCACTTGAGGATTTGGTGAATTACATTTTGTCATTTTAGTTGAGAAACAAATACCCAATCAAAACACACATACACCATTTGTAAGCTTTAGTATCATATCAGAGCTCTTTGATTGCTCAACATCCAGGCTCGTTCCTGACATGTTTTAGGTCCTCGGCGAACATAAAAACAGAAGTCCCACTACAAGAAACAAGGCTTTTAACAACTTTTGTTGTCGCTAAAAGTCCGTTTATCATTGAAAATAGTATATAACAAAAACATGTTGTCGCTATAACTTGTGACACATGTCATCGCTAAAAGGCGCATCGTCAAAACTCACTTTTCTTGTAGTGACCTGCGGTAAATACAAAAAAAAAAAAATCAATAGATGTTTTTCATTAGTATAAAATTGAGTACAAGAAATGTTAATAATTTACTGAGTAAATAAATCTTATTTATCTTTATTATAGATATATAAAAGTGTACTTAAATTTACGTACTTCTTATTAGGTAATTTTAAACCAAGAGTATATAAACTATGGTTGATAAATTTTTATAAAAAGTAAGAATTTTTTATTTTATAACAAGAAATATGTGTTATTTTGATACAAAAAGAGAATTCGTGTTAATGAAATAATCGTGAGGTCAATGAGAGATTAATAATAAAGAAGATTATCAAGGTAATATCGACAAGTAGACAAATGAAAATCAATAAGAATATGAAAGAAAAAATGATCCATTGGGATCTAGTAAAAATAAATAATGAATTAACATATAATATGCAAGGTCAACAAATGATTGTTTGAGCATTTAAATATAATCTTGTGGTGTGGTGAAATCCCAATGAAAGATACATAAGTCAAACAATTGATGAAAATATTTAAATTCTATTTTTTTTTTTTTTTTTGCTCAACTAAAATAAGATGTTAATATTAAAAGTTTATGGAATATGACATATATAAAAGACATTACTAAATACATCTAGTAGAAAAAATTTATTGATTAATCACAAAACCATGAAACACGTCATAAATCATAATAACAATAGATTAATTGTCAAAAAAAAAGTAAAATATTTTATGTAGAAACAAAAATAGATAACAATAGTCAACAAAAACAATTAAAACAACATAACCAAATAGCAATAGTCAATAAAAATAGAAATTGATAAAACTATCTAACAAAAATATATAGCAATAACAAGCACATGATCTTAACGTTGAATTATTGAAGCACGAAAATAGTCAAGAATATAGAGATAGCAATATCCAACATCATTGGACCTTGTTGGAGATAAAAAAAAATTAGAGGGGCAATAAACAATAGCATATAATGAATGACAATTTTTTTTTCTTTCTTCTCCAATGTAATTAGTTGATATATTTTTGGGTCCTTATTATCTACTAAATTATTTCTCTCTTATTATATGCTACAATTTTTTGGTTTCTTTAATTTACTAAATTCATTTAGGTGCTGTTTGTTTTTCAAAAAAAAAGCACTTAATTGCCTCTTATGTCTGAATCGGTCAGACATTGAGGGATTAAGTGCGTTTGTTTTTTTTTTTAAATTAAGTGCTTAGAACATCTGATTTCATCTGAATTATTTAGAGGTAAAATGCAGTCTAAAAACCTCTTAATCGCGTCGCCTCAAGCTCTCGCCTACCCTCCGCCATGTTCCGCCATTATTTGGGGACTGCCTTAGGGCTGCTTCGATTCGATAGCAGGCGTTGGAGAGGACGACGGGGAGGTCGTTGTTAGGGTTGCCATTGGAAGGATTCGATTACAAGTCAATTTTAGGGCAGTGTTGCGAGATGCCTAATGTTTTTCCATCTCCATCTTCAGAAATCCAAACCATTTATGGGTATTTAAACCAACCAAGCGTAAACAAGGGCTTTCAGTTCCTTAGCAGCTAGGGTTCTTCAATCTTCCCTTTTCCTTCATTGGAAATGGAAAAACATTAGGCATTGGAAACGATCATAATCAAGTTCATGATGTTAACAGTGATTCCACTTCTGATTTCCATTGTGAGCTTGGATCGTTTGAACACCAATTTCGTTTAAATGATTGGATATTTCAGTTAAATTTAATTGAAATGAATTGATTCAGATTTCAGACGTAAAAACAAACAGTCTGACTGATTCAGATTTCAGACTTCAGCACCACCTCTTAAAATTCAGAAGTGAATTCAGACTTCAGACTTCAGCACCTCTTAAAAAACAAACGCCACCTTAGACTACTATATATTTTAAGGGAAAAATTTGGGCCCCTGATATTTTTGGGCCCTGGGCGGGCGCCCGTGCTGCCCTTCCCCAGGGACGACCCTGTCAACAGCAGATGCATGTGTTCTTCTTTGCCCTACTCTCTCAACATTTCTATTATCTTAACCCAAAAAGATCTGCATTTGAAACTACAAGAACGGTGCTTGATTGGTTTGAACTTGACTCCAAAGGTCAAAAGTGTCCGGAGATCTCAGGTTCAAATCCAAGAAGGAACAAAAATCCATTTGTGGCCATGGAGGTTCAAATACGGTGACTCCAGGTTACGAGCAAAGTATGTGGTCGTTTTGGGATTAGTCGGTACGCATAACGGGTTAAATATCCAGCTTAATAAAAGAAGATTTGCATTTGGGTCATGTATTTATTTCTTGTCGAGTTTGTTCAACAATTACATTCCATTTCATTGTTTAATTATTAATTTATTTATATTTTTTTCCCTTTTCAAATGAAAAGTAAAAACAAAAGCAAAATTAAAAAAATCCAAACTTTGAAACCCTCTCGACTCATCCTTAAACCGAAAACTAGCTGGTTCTTCCCAAAATACGTTAAGGTACAGCAGCTAGGGCTGTAAACGAGCCGAACATTCAGTAAACTATTCGTGAACCGTTCGGTGGGAAGTTCGTTTATTTAATAAATAAACGGACATGAACAATTTTTTTTGTTCGTTTAGTTAAACGAACGAACATGAACAAGAGTCTCGTTCATTCATTTATGTTCGTGAACGTTCGTTCATTTACCGTTCGTTTATATTCGTTCGTTTATGTTCATTTATATACTAAATTTAATATATAATCTTTTGTTTATTTACTTTAAATTCAAATAATATTTATTTATGTTCGTTTAGCCCGTTCGTTTATGTTCGTTCGTTTACGTTCGTTTAGCATGTTAACAAACGAACACGAACACACCTGATTTCTAAACGAACGAAGACGAACACAAAGATTTTCGTTCGTTTACCGTTCGTGTTCGTTCGTTTGTTCGGTTAAGTTAAACGAACGAACATGAACAAGCCTCCGTTCGTGTTCGTTTGGTTCGTTTACAGCCCTAACAGCAGCTGTTCACCGGTTTTTGGTTAACTTATGTACATTTATTACTTTGGACCTGTTTACTTATGGCTTAATGAGCTTACCGGATAAATGGGCTTATTCGCACAACCATTTTAAGGTGTTTACTTCGGGCTTATTCGCCCAGCCATGGGCTTATTCGCACAGATGGGTACCAGGAGTTGTCCACGTTAAGCCACAAAAAAGACCTGCCTTACCCTTCAACCCCACACCTCTCTTTTCTCCTCCAAGTCGCTCCCTTCTCTTCCAATCTTCTCCTCCAATCTTCTCATTCAAGAACCCTAATCGGCTGAAATAGTTTCTCCTCAAATCAAGTCTCTCTTATAATTACATATTTTTGTTATATAAGGTTGCCAATTTGAGGCAACGATTATACCATTCTATTGCACCTGGACGGCTTGCTGGTGATCGGAAGGGAGTTGTTCCTGCTTCAGGGTTTTCCTTTAGTGCATAACAGATCTGGAAAGTTATCAAGGAGAATCGAGACCTTGACTCCTTTTGAAGCTTCAAGAATATTCCATGTTTATTCTGTGTGTTATTGCTTTTGATGCTTCTGCAGGTGATGGTGGCCACTGTGCGCTGTGAAGAAATTGCTAATGAGAAGTACTCTGCCTTTGTTGCAAACAAGGTTCATCGTTTTCATGTTTCATTATTCACAGGGATTTCTTCTCTTGAGGTATTGAAACTAATTTCTTTGTAAGTATCACAGGAATGGTGCGAACTAGAGGATGCTATGAAGTCTCAATTGGTGCTCGATATTTCTGGGTTTATGCTCGATATTTCTGGGTTTGTTTAACAGCAGCTTGTTTAACAGCAAATAATGAAGCAACTCGATATTTGTTTTGTTTCGTTATAGGTATGGAACAAACGGGTGAAGCCCATAGTTAATCCTCAGGGGTAAATTGGTCATTTCTGTTATTCAGACTGTTGATTCAGATAGAAAAGTAAACAGCAACCCAAATTTATCCAGACAGTCAAATTTATCCAGACAGACAAATTTATCCATACAAGACTTAATAGAAAATTTGGTAAACAGTCCCTTTATGTTTTTGTGTTGTTCATGTTTCCTAGTTTTTGGGTTGTATTATTAAATGGTTAGCATTTTTGTTTAGATCTGTCCCAATATATGTAGTACGTTAAAAAAATAAGAATAAATATTTATATATAAAAAATGCAAAAAAAAACCAAAAAATACAATTTTTTATTAAATATTCACCACAAAATAATTAAATTTTTTATTAAATATTCACCACAAATTTTTTTATTAAATACTCACCACATGTTTCCTAGTTTTAAGACATTTCTAGAGAATCTCTTAAAAAAATCATTTTTAATTTTTTTTGAGAAAATGTTTTTTAAAGAAAAACAAAAAAAAAAAACGTTTTTTTTTAAATTCCCATAGATTGAAATAATTTCATGGGATTCAACCAATTGTATCTTGAATTCATCGGAGACTTTTATAAATTATTTTTAAGGTAAAATGTATGAAATAGTAACCTAATTTTATAAAATTCTTTATTATAACATTGTAATTTTAATTTTTTTTATTACAAAATATACTTTCAAAATATTTTCTATTAGGTTATCGTCAGTGGCGGATGTAAATGGAAGCTGTTGGGGTCCGGGGCCCCTAAAAAAAAAATTTAGAAAGCCCAATTTATTTTTAGTTTATAATTTAATTTGGTTGGACCTCCAACAATAAAACTATGAAGGCCCCTCTCCTTGGTCTTTCTCTTCACACCAATTCACTTCATGCTTCTGCCTTCAAGTTTGTGTTCGTCCCTTGCGAGTTGCGTGCAGGCAGCGGACTGCTTCTTCTTCTTCGGTTCTTCCCGCCAACAGCCTGCTTCTTCTTCTTCCCGCCAGGCGCCAGCAACTTGCTTCTTCTTCTTCTTTTTCTTCTTCTTCTTGTGGTGCAGAGTGCGGTAGCCGGCTACAACCTATTAGGTTAATTTGGGTAAATTTTTTGATTTCTAAATTCTAATATTTAATTTTAAATGACTTTAATTTCATTGTTTGGTATTTTGGTAAATGCTTTATGTTAGGTTCATTTTGCAATTTTATAGACAAATGGAAATGTTAGGTTAATTTTGCAATTTTGTAGGAAAATGGAAATGTTAAGTTAATTTTGCAATTTTGTAGGCAAATGGAAATAACACTATTGAGAAAGATAAACCATTGATTTTTATCTTATTATTGTTATTGCTAGAAAAAATGGAAAGATTTTTTAAAAGGAAAGCATCAACACCTGAATCGAGTTTCGCTCTTTCGATGCCCTACGAAATTGATTTGAACGATCTTCCTTGGGATCCAGCCGATAGGAAAAAGATTTCGGAATATCATCCTAATCAAAGGGATGAAATAAGGAGAAAATACTTGTTTAAAGGACCTTGTCAACCACGAGGTCATGCATTTCTAAAAAAATATGTAGGGAGTAAAGGAAGACGTTTTTGTCCGGCTTGGTTTGATCAATACGCTAATTGGTTGGAGTATAGTGTAAAAACGATAGAGCTTTTTGTTTGTGTTGTTATTTGTTTAGAGATCATTACGTAGGATAATGTGGGAGTGATGCTTTTGTAACAGATGGCTTTAACAGTTGGAATAAAATGGAGAGACTTGGTCTTCATGTTGGCGACATTAATAGTTTTCACAATAGAGCACTTAAGAAATGTGAGGATCTAATGAGCCACGATCGATCTATCGCCGTTGCCTTTCATAAGCAAACTGAGAAGGAGAAGAATGAGCACCGAATACGATTAAATGCTTCAATTAAGGCTTGTAGATTCTTGTTGAAGAATGCATTGACCTTTCGTGGTCACGATGAATCTGAAATATCTATTTCTAAAGGCATGTTCTTAGAAACATTAGCCTTAATTGGTGATTGCAATGAGGATATAGGTAAAGTTATATTAAAAAATGCTCCAAAGAATAATCAAATGGTGTCTCCAAGTATTCAAAAAGATATTGCTGCTTGTTTTACAAATCAAATACTCAACTCCATTCGTAAAGAAGTTGGTGATGATGTGTTCTCATTTCTAGTTGATGAGTCTAGTGACGTTTCTAAGAAGGAACAAATGGCGGTGGTTTTAGGATATGTTAATGCACGTGGTATTGTTAAGGAGAGATTTTTTGGTATTGTTCATGTGACGGGGACATCTTCTTCAATTCTTAAATCTGCCATTGATACTTTATTTGTTGAACATGGATTGAGTTTGAAACAAGTAAGAGGGCAAGGTTATGATGGAGCAAGCAATATGTGCGGTGAGTTCAATGGATTAAAGGCCTTGATCTTGAATGAAAATAGCTCAGCATATTATATCCATTGTTTTGCTAACCAACTTCAATTAGTTATTGTGGCGGTTGCAAATAAACATGACGGAGTTGAGAACTTTTTTTAATATGTTAGGAATGGTGATCAATGTGGTGAATGCTTATTGCAAGCGTAAAGACATGCTTCGACAAAGTTACAAAGATAAAGTGCAAGAAGCAATTGGTAAGTGTGAAATTGATATTGGAACAGGGAAATACCAAGAGCTTTCTCTTATACGAGYCGGAGATACATGGTGGGGTTCTCATTACAAAACCATTTTGAGCTTGATTGCTTTGTTTCCAAATGTTGTTGAAGTGCTCCAGTATGTTGAAGAGGACGGGGATAATGGCTTTAGTCGCACTCAAGCAACTGGTATTTTAGCATATTTGAAGACATTTGATTTCGTGATTTATTTGCGTTTGATGTTTCATATTTTAGAGGTCACATACTTGTTGTCACGGGCTCTTCAAAAAAAGGACCAAGATATTTTGGAAGCGGTTTCATTGATAAGAGGAACCAAACAACTATTGCAACAATTTAGAGAAACTGGTTTTGATCCACTTTTGAAGAAAATGTATTCTTTTTGTGAAGCAAATGGTATTAAAGCTTTGGATATGGAAGACCGTTATTCAAAAAACGGAAGACAAAGGACCAGCATCACCAATTGTCATTATTACAAATTTGATATTTTCAACACTGTTGTGGACATGCAAATTTAAGAGTTTGGGGATCGATTTAGTGAGGTAAGTACTGAATTTCTTAAAAATATAGCAGCTTTGAGTCCATGCGATTCATTTTCGCAGTTCAGTGTATCAGATTTATTGAAGTTGAGTGAGTTGTATCCTCAAGATTTTAGTCATATGGAAATGATCGCTCTTGAGAAACAACTTAACATGTATTATTTGATTGTGCGTCAGGATGAAAGATTTGCCAATTTGAGTGGTATTGCCGAGCTCTCTAGATTGCTAGTGGAAACAAAAAAGCATAAAACTTATCCTCTAGTATATCAGTTATTGAAGTTGGCTTTGGTTTTGCCAGTTGCTACCGCAACAGTCGAAAGATGTTTTTCTGCTATGAAGATTGTGAAGTCAAATTTGCGCAACAAAATCAGTGATGAATTTTTTAATGCTGCAATGATATGTACTATAGAAAAAGAAGCACTTCTCGCAGTTTCAAATGATGATGTAATTACTCAATTTCAAAAGACGAAGAGTCGTAGGGCACAGTTGTAAAATGTAACTTTTTATCATTATTGTATGAAATTGAAGTTAATTATTATTTTATCTTATATTATGCCCCTTACAATATATTTTTCTACGTCCGCCACTGGGTATCGTACTTTCAAAATTTTGTCCGTTATAGCATTGGGTAACATGCTGCCTTTTGAACAAGTTTTTCTTTGTTGACGTGTCAAACTTAAAATGACATGGAAACCACATAGGATAATCTGTTACACATGGGAAATGTGCGAAATAGCAAATTACTTTTACAAAATTTCTTATTATAGTATTGTATTTTCAGTTTTTTTTATTACAACGATATAATTTCAAAATATTTTTTATTAGAGTATCGTACTTTCAAAAATTTACCCGTTATAACATTGGATAGACGAGGCGGAACCGGTTCAAAAAGGGGTGTTGAAAAGGTAACGTGAAATCTTTGAGTTTCATACATTTTATATATCAATTGCATACTAATTTGTTCATTAATTTAAACATAACCATCTCAAGTGGAATCATGACCAAAGCTCATCCCCAAAAAAAGGACAAATGAAAGAATAACTTTAAACAACCTACGGAAAAATGTTGTTGAGAAAGATGGAGAAGATAGTAATTGTGACAAGACGGTTCCACTTGATTAAATATCATTGTTAGACGAATTTGAATAGGATGAGTTTTTTTAAGATGTTACACATGTTTAGTTTTTGGTATTACAAAGTAAGCAATGAAATTTACGATAAACTTAATGAACGAATGGTTTTTTATTCGTGAAATAGTGATCTTTTTTCAATATGTTTAATTTCTGATATTATAATTTTTAGTAAACATATTTGATTAAATTTACAATGTTTAAATGATAAAAATATTAAAATTAAAAAGTACAATGTTATAATAGAAATTAATGATGTTATAATAAAATAATTCTGAAAGTACAATACTATAATAAGAAATGTCATGTCAGCACAATCGTACATGTAGAGAGCTTACGTGGACAATGTGATGACAAAAAAACCTGATATAATGAGTAAATTTAATTTAAAAAGTTAACCAATGCTATAACGGTTAATTTTTAAAAGTACGATGCCCTAATAAAAAATATTTGAAAGTACAATGCTATAAWTAAAAAAAATTAAAAATATAATACTATAATAAGAAAATTTGTAAAAATAGGTTGTTATTTTACGAATTTTGCTTTTATTTTTAAATTTTTTTTCAGAAAATGTTTTTAAAAGAAAAATAAAAAAAATATGTTCTAGAAAATCCGGCGGTCGTCGTATCTCCAATCGGTCGGAAATTTCTAAAATTTATTTTCTAAAATATCCTTTTTTACAGAATATGTTTTTAAAGAAAAACATTTTTTGAAACTTACGGTGATTCACGCATCCGTCAAAAACTTTTGAAAATGGTTTTTTAAATATTTTTTCCAGAAAATGTTAAAAAAAAAACTTTTTTCTAGAAAATTCTGGCGGATCCTCAATCCGTCGGCAACTTTTAAAAAACGATTTTTCCAGAGTATCGACGGATAATACTTAATTAAATTTCATCGAAAATCTGCCATAAATTTTAACTAATTAATATTAATTAGTTTTTTTTATAAAAAATTGGACCCTATTGTGACAGATTTATGAGAGCTTATTTAAATAATAAATAAATAAATAATCCGTCGATAAATTAATCGAAATTAGTTTAATTTTAAAAAAAAATCTATGGTTATATTTGTTACAGAAGTTAACAAAAGTTGATTTTCTTATCTTTTTAGGATCTGTTAGAAATCCGACAATAATTTTTCGACAAAAAATCCGTCAGAAAATTTCTTGATAAAACCCCTTTATTTAATAGTGATATTTGTAAAAGTAAATGTGGATCTATTAAATATATCAGATGTTATAATACCAAAGGTTAATATGTTGCTAATATAAAGAGTAAATTACATTTTTCGTCTCTATGGTTTGTTAAACATTGTGATTTTCATTTTTATGGTTTAGAAAATGCAGTTTTCATCCTTATAATTTGTAATTTTTTGTTGTTTTCATCTTTATGATTTACAATTTATTATTATATCGGTCCCTGTGATTTACAATCCTTTACTGTGGTCTACTGTACTTGAAAGTAGGAATTAGTCTTGGGATGAAAAGAATAATAAATTGCAAATTATAGATATGAAAATCACAATTTTTAAACCACAGGGAAAAAAATATAAATTATTTACAAGCAACAAGTACGAAAATCATAATTTACTCTAATATGCAATATTACATGTGATTATATATAGACGTCAATACCTATTGGCCATATAAAAAATTATAGTGTAAATACGCGAATCTATTATCACATGTGATAATATATAAACATGGACTTATTCTTAGACGTGATAATTCATATATGAGAAATACAAAAAGAAAAGACGCAATTAAGGATAATCTTATTGAATCAAGTTTTTTTTATTAACCTAGATATTCAACCAGCTATGCAAGCCGACTAATTTCAAGACAACCAACCGTTTTGTGGATATCCCGGAGTCAACACATTTAAGCCTCGTGGCCGTAAGAAAATTTTTATTCCTCCTTGGATTCGTATATGAGACCTCCAGACACTTTCTAATATTTGGAACTCAAGCTCAAATCAATTAGACACCCCCTTTTGATTATTGCATACATATGAGAAACATAAATCTCTATTGAATTCAGATTTACAAATAAAACCCTAACATTATGGATTATTTCAACAGAGAGAGATGAAGTGGTGAGGGTGTAGTGGAGAAAGATATGGATGAAAAATAGGGATAGGGGTTGTTCATTTATCTCTTAATAGTTTTATTAAGAGGTAACTTTTGAATCGTTAAAAGGTGAATCTTGTTTGGCAATTTTTTTTTTGCCTCTTAATGGTTCTAAAACATTCTGAATGATTTTGTATCCTGGATCTCCCTTAACCATTCGGCGTTCTAATTTCATAGTAAATAATTACCAAACAATTATAATTCATTTTGCACTATATCATGAGAGCTTTTTAATCATTTTGCACCAAACCATTCAACAACTGTCAAACAACCCTTTAGTGTTTCGCGAGTCTTGAAATTAGATTTAGATGATTTACTTGTTTTAATATAATATTTTTTTAAAGTATATAATATTTATATACGATAAATAGAACAAATAAACTCACACATTTTATCATATTTAATGAGGTTTGAACTCCTAACCTCCTAAGAAACCAAAAACTCACATACCAATAGAGCAAAGATCCTTTAATTTTACATTTTAGTTTGGACGTGAATCTTTTCATTTAATTAGAGAATCTCGTTTTCTATTTGCTATTTTACCCTTAAATAAATTTTACCATTCTAAAAAATGGCTTGGATTTTTCTTATTATTTACAAAATTGCCATTGTTTTGATTTAGCCCTTCATTAGATTGGTGTAAAGTCATGATTGCTTCAAGTCTTTTCGTAATTTGATCGCATCATGCATTTTCTTTCTTGTATATAAGATTCATTTTATGAGAATCTACTATAATCAATTACATATGATACTATATTCTATTACATATGATAAACAGGATACTAAATTAAAGATGTGAAAGATGTTTGGCACGACCTAGGTTGCGGGCCAAGTCGTACGCACACCACTAGACCCTCTCACGTATATTATCACATGTGATAAAAGTATTCTCTATGTGATACTAAGATCCAACATATGTGATACTAAATTAGAGACGTAGACGACCTTTGACGCAACCTAGGTTGTGGGCCAAGTCGTCTACACACCGCTAGGTTTCTCACGTGTATTATCACATATGATAAAGGTGTTCTCGTTTGAACCTCCACACACACATATGTATGTATGTATATATATGTGTGTGTCAAGGATCGTGTGAGAAGAGAGGTTAAGATGAGAAACTTAAGAAGAAATCTGGACCTTTGATCACTTTTAATCTCAAAGCCCACCATGAATCACGCTTGATACGAGGACTGATACAATGCATCTCGTTGCCCTCATTCTAATGTGCATTCAAAGATGTAGATTTTTTCTTACGTTTCTCACATTAACTCTCCTCATACAATCCTTTACCTACGCATATATATATATATAGAGGTTGGTTCAAATAGAAACCAACCATATTGTGCAAACTATGTGAACCGATACCAACCAATCACATTCTTTCTTGACTTTAGGTTCAAATCTAATTTATAAATTAAAGATAAGGGTAATTTGGTAATTTAACCTTTTTGTAACCCCCTAATAATTAATTGGGTGTTACAAATCTTAAAAGATACCTCTAATTAATCATGAGATTTTTCTGATTTCTTTATTATTTCATGTTCATGTTCTTGATTTCAAGTGATGTTCTACAGATATTGAAATTGGTTGTCTAAGTGTAGAAGATTTTCGTTTCGTCCAAGATACATGGATAATCCTATTGTAAAAGAATTTCAGAATAATGAAAACGATAAACTTGATTCCAGATATGAATACGGTCGAAACACGATTCCCGATGATGAAGAAGACGATCAAAGCGTTCCGATTGGTAAGTGGTTAGTATTTCATGTATATTGTTTAAATGAACAACCATTACCTTTGTTGTATATTAAATATGCTTTGTAATATAGTTGAAATCGTCCAAGAATCTGATGCAATATCTGGTCCTACATATGTTCAAAAAACATACTACAAAATATGAAACAATGTCAGGAGATAATAAGACATACATTGTATATTAAATATGCTTTGTAATATAGTTGTAATTTTCGCTGTCTCCATGTTTCCATGTGTTCATGTGATCAGCGGCTGTGGTCGTTTACACATTCAAATGTTGTGGTCGTTCACACAGATGTTGTTCACACGATACGCAGGGCCGACATATGAACATAAGTTGTACATATGTTCATATTTGCTATATATTCGTCGAGCACACCTCTATGTGAACATTTTCACAACGTCAAGAGATGCAGATGTGTTCACAGGATGTTGTGGTAGTATGTCATGTCGTTGTTCATGTGGATGCATATGCCCACGTACTTTTCTCATTTTCACAGATTATTCAAAACAAAAGGTAGTTGCATATTACCTCAAACTCTTTTCTTTATGATATATGTCAACATGTCATGACAACCTTAGCTTGGTCTGGTATTTTTGAAAAATGCATCATGTTGTACCTGTAACATAAATGGTCATATCGGATTACATTACCTATTTATAGACAGTAGTAATAATGAGGTATGTTCGACAAATCAAGTAAGATATTTTTTTCAAGTTGTTTGGAGTTTCTCTTTACCTACCTGCTTGTTGATCTGGTAAATTCAATTATTGTTATACCAACGTTAATACCACAGCCTAACTACTTTTTCCCATCATATCTTGATAGCATAACTTCTTCACAACAAGAAGTTGATTATGACATAGGAGAGAGTTCAGAAAGAATAAAGTTTTTTATCCCGAAGGTCAATGACGCGCTTAATCCAAATATGAAAGCACAATATGCGACTATAAATGAAGTAGAAAGGACGTACAGGGCTTATGCGGACAACGCCGGCTTTGATGTTCGCATGCATGTAAAAAAGACGAACAAGCATGGCGAAATTCAAACTAGGTGGTTTGTCTGCAGTAGGGAGGGAAATCCAAAAAAGAAGGATTTTGATTCGTTGTACATGCAGCCGGGTGAGAGGAGATACCATAATACAAACATCAAACGTTGTGGTTGTAATGCTTGCATAAAAATCCATTTGACAAAGGATAGGGCTTGTTACGAGATATATGAGTTCGTTGAGGCACATAACCATGCATTGTTCAATAATAACGATCGTCGTTTCTCTCGGAAGAATAGACAGATGAAGTATACAGATTTCAAAACTGTACTAAATAGCTCGAGCTACAAAGTCGGCGCGAGGAGGGCTCACCGTATTCARACCGCATTGAACGGTGGATTTGAGCATACTCGCATCTCTGAAATTGACTTCAAGAATTTCAAGAGGGATGTTGTTGCTTGTGTTGCGAATAAGGACGCGACGATGTTGATCAATAAAGTATCAAACAGACGTGATGTTGTCCCCGGTTTTTTTTTAATATAAATGCAATGAGCAGGAGTTGAGCGCAATTTTCTAGGCGGATGAAGTTGCTAGAATTAACTACAAAGAATTTGGTGATGTCATATCGTTCGACGGTACCTTTCGCACTAACAAGTAAGATCACCAATTGCAATACAGTTCTTTAAAGTTGATCAGCTTTGATATTTTAACGGACATATGACATGGCTACGATCAGATACTCATATTTTTTTATTTGTATTCCAGGCATGCAATGATTTTTGTTCCTTTCTTGGCTGTTGACAACCATAAGGCGTCTGTTGTTGTTGGATCCGCTCTTATAAGTGGAGAGACGATTGATAACTTTACGTGGGTTCTAAAGGCCTTTCTAAAGTGTCATGCGAAGCAACCAGTGTTTGTAATTACAGACCAATGTTCTGCAATGAAACAGGCTATTCCGAAGGAGTTCACCGAATCCAAGCATCGACTATGTATGTGGCACATTATGAAGAAGGTCCCTTCAAAGGTAAGTAGTATATATTCGATGCTATCTAATTTAATGCGTTTTTTGTGTTATTCTTTCATATGCCGAAGCTTCGTTGACGCAGATTAGTGTCGCCCTAAATCATGATACTACGTTCAATAAAGTCATCAACAAGCTCGTACGGAACATTCATATTGGCCCATCGGAGTTCGAACGCCGTTAGAATGAGATGATAGATAAATACAATCTAGCCGGGGATACTTGGTTTACAGAGATGTATGAAATCCGACACTCGTGGATTCCTGCCTATTACAAGGACACACCGATGTCTGGGCTAATGAAAACAACATCAAGATCCGATACGAATCGTACTGGTTTGATTTGGTGCAATTCCTTAATAATTACGACGTAGCTATAGAAAAACAAATATACAGACAATCTGTTCACGAAACAGTGACGAGAACGACTAATCCCAAGTTTGTTACTCCATTGCGCTTAGAAAGTCATGCATCAAGCATATACAGTCGGAACGTGTTTTTTGACATCCAAAAGAAAATAAAGAAGGCTGTTTGGTTTTGTGTTATTGAGACCGTCGAATGCCGGGATGATTTCAAGTCATTCGTGATAAGCCAGAAGGCCAAGAAATCAGCTGACAACATCACGTATCTGGTATCCTATCCCTAACTCTCAACACAAAGGATTATATGATAATTTATTTTTTTCTTGACTGATGTTGTTGGAAACTTCTTTCATGACAGGTGGGCCGTAATTACTCAACAAACACAGTCGAATGCGATTGTAACCTATTTACACGTAATGGGTATCTCTGTCGTCACGCGTTCAAGGTACTAATAAAAGACGAAGTTGAATGCATTCCGGAAAAATACGTATTACGTCGATGGAAATAAGAGTTAGTTCCAGTACAGATACAGTCCGCAAGAGTTCGTTATGGGGAGGTCAACGCCGAGAAAGAAAAGTCTATAATTGATGTATATTCCAAGATCGACGACATAATAAGCATCGCCCACAATGATCAATCTATATTAGATAGATTGGGGCGTAACCTCGAAAAATTCATGGTTGATATAGAGAAGGAAGTTCCATACGAAGACCCATCACAACAAAAGTTGGACGCGATTAGAGATCATCTAGGTGTTTCCATACCTGATAAGGTGGACATTCTACCACCATCTGGAATAAGGAACAAAGGTTGTGGAACTGGAAAGAGGCTGGTAAGTGTATCTGAGAAAATGCAAACTAATTGCAAAAAGGCTAAACGAAAATGTGTAACGTGTGGACAACGTAGTGGTCATGACTCACGTAATTGCCCAGAATTGATAGATTAGTTAGATGACAAGTATTTAGAATTCTTATCGTTTTGTTCTAATAAGTCGGCGTTATCGAAACATATTGTTCATGTGGCTTTATTTGTTAAACAGCTTGAACTTGATCTCAGTGTTTTGCTTGAATCAGTAGTTGATGTTATTTGTTAGTGCCATTAGTGTTATTGATACGTTATGTACATTTTATATTTTTTTTAATATATCTTATACGGTTTCATCAACTTTTCGGGGATGGAAGGAACTCCGTCTGAATGAATATACTTAAATACATTGAACTACGAAGTCATTAAAAGGTATGTGTTCATTATGTTTCTAACATGTAGCGATCCCACAGATACAGTATATGAAACCTAGATGCAATTCACGATATTACACAAATATATAACATGTTCGTCACTACAAAAATTGAACCTTACTGGAACGATCATTTTACGTAGATAACATAAAAACAGCAGACTACAGAAACACAGTTCACACTAGAAGGCTATTGGTTTGCATGATGCATTTATCACGTTTGATGTTTCATGCATATATCAAGATCTATGTAGCATTCACATACTTCTCATAAGGGTCATTATACATCTCATCATATTGTAGGTCAAATCATGAAGCAAAGCCATCAAAATGCGTGATTTTCATATATCGATGTTACGAGATAAAAATACATATGTATTTAAATGGTTGTATACAAAAAATAAAGTTCAGAACGCACCTGACAAGATGATACAAGTTCATGTTACGCTAGATAGTATCAACACGTCCATCCATATGTTAAATGACATGGAAACTCACACATACCAGTTGCACTCCCACGCTTCCTCATGAGTTCAACGCTCTTGCATGTTGAATGACACAATACGGTCCACGGAAATAGTGATCAGTTAAAACTGCCACAAGTGGTGTGAATATGTTGGTGTCAGTATATCAATATATACAGAAATCACAGTTTCATCAATACACAAATCAACATAATGCTAGATGAGACATTTGTCATTTTCAAGTTTCCGGTAGATAAATTTGTTTCAATCTGATTATGAAATGGTTTCATTGTTTGCTAATTAAACATGTTATTAATAATTATGAAATGGTTTCTCTATCGTTATGCACCCATTTCATCGACAAAAGTTTTGCAATCCAACATGGTTTCACGGTTTCATCAATACACTAATCAACGTAATGCCTAATGAGAAATTTGTCATTTTCATGTTATTGGTAGATGGATCCGTTTCATCGAAATAATGAAATTGCTTCACTGTTTGGCTAATTACACAACATTTTCTTAACAATTATGAAATGGTTTCACTTTCTTTATGCACCTATTTCATCAGCCAATTTCTTCCAATACGAACACGTTTCATAGAGTCAATGCATTTACCATTACATGTTTTGTTAACCATTAAGTGAACAAAATCATCCAAAAAAAAAAAAAAAATGAAACAATTTCATCAAATATTGTTGATAAGAAAACAAGATTATGCAACAATATTATATTACGCAACAAGTTCATCCCCAAAAGTTTCATAAAACAAGTTCCTCAATGAACATTTTCATGAACCAATCTGCATATGTTTCAGAAAACAAGCTCCTCAATGAACGTTTTTTTGAACAAATCTAACATGAATATGTTTCACAGTTGATTATATTTTTACCGGTTCATGAATCTTTGTTTGGATCTGTTACTGATTTCGTGGATTAATGAATATAATAATTTTCGATTTTCATATTATTACCACTAATATACCGAGAAACCAAATAACAATATTCAATTTTT